TCACTCTAGGTTGGGGGTGGTTTTCTTGTAGGACTTGAAACAACTCACTACAGACTCTCCTTGCCCTAAGGGTTTGTGTTGAAAAGTCTGCTGTAATTCTGAGGGGCTTTCCTTTGCATGTGATTTGTTTCTTTTCTCTTACTGCTTGTAGTATTTTGTTCTTCTGTTGGGTTTCTGGGATCTTATTATATGTCTAGGTGCAGATTTTTTTTGGTTGTGGCTAGTTGGGGTCCTATATGCCTCAGTTATCTGAATGTCAAATTCTTCCCCTCTGTTTGGGAAGTTTTCTGTCATTAATTCTGCGAACAGCTTTTTTATGTCATTTGTATTTTCTCCTGCTACTTCATGGATTCCTATCAGTCTTATGTTATTCTTCTTTGCATCATCCATGAGTTGTTGGATTGATTTCTCATGATCCCTTTCTGTTTTTAAGAGACCTCTCTTTTCATGGTCACTGACTGCAATCTTATCTTCTATATCTGAGAGTCTATCTCCCTTTCTTTTATTGTGTTGTGTACACTTTCAATGGAGTTTTTAATCTCCTGGATATCTGTTTGAATCTGTTTTATGGATTCCATTTCTTTCCTATGTTGGGCGTTTATTTTTTCCATTTCTTTCTTATGCTGGGCCTTCAGGGCTTCTATCATGGTCCTGAGCTCATCTATTTTTTTCTCAGTTTCTGTTGTAGAGTCTCGAATCCTGACTTCCATTTTGCTCACTATCTCTATGGCTATCTGGGAAATTATTTGTTTTGAATTTTTGTAGAGCCTGATTGTTCTGTTTTGTTACTTCCTGTGCTACGGGTTCATGGTGTCCTGGTGGTTCACTATCGGCCTTTTCATCCTCATTTGCCCTACTGTTTGCCATTAGTGAACTGGAAGTCTGTCTTTTTGTCTTGCTTAAGTGTTTTCTCATTTTTATTTTTGTTGTTGGGTTGTCCTTGGTTTAATATCTGAGTTATTACTTAAATCTTCCTGATATAGTTATGCTTTAGCTTTTGACTCTCTAGTGTCTCATAGACATTCTCATTTTCATAATATCGGAGAAAACAACTCATTAAATCAATCACAGTCCTTTATCCCAATTGATACAATCAGCAGCACAATAGGATCAAGCACAACTTGCAAATTTAACACTTGTGGTAGTCATTAATGTATCACCTTTAAACCATGTGAATTAAATTAAAATCAAGAAGCAGCCCAAAATATGTTTTCAGTGCATATGCTTTTCAATATACCAGTTTTTACCATTTAGGATGGGGGCTTAGACTGAGTTAGGAAAGGACTAGATAAGTGAAATAATTGGAGAAGGTTTCAAGTGAAGCCAGAGGACACAGAATGACCATACAATCTTTACGAAACTATTAAATTCAAAAGGGATAGACAGAGTGCAAGAATAAGGACAAGAATATATCCCCTTTAACAGTAACAGGGGCTCACTTTCCCTTGAAACTACTGACCCATGAGTGAGGTAAAATGACAGAAGAAAAGATCATAAAGAAAAAAGGAAAAATGATGAAGAAGTCTGAGTTAGGGCAGGAGCGGCCTTCCTCGAGCCATGAACCATAGTATTATTGGCTATATTATTCGTGCTTAATTTTTACATTGAGTCTTTGCATATGTCATCCCATTCCCTTCTCTGTAAGTTTTAGCAGAATCTTTCTGTTAGTCAAAAGGGATGTAACTCTGTTTTGTTTTTCTCTTGCAGTTTTTAGAATTCTTTGTTTTGAACTTTTGCCAGATTGACTCTACCATGTATTGGTATCATTTTTTTTTTTCTACCGGGGATCAAACTCAGGACCTTGTGCTTGCATGGCAGGTGTGGTTGCCATTAAGGTTAATCCCCACACATTGGTGAAAATTTTCAATGGTCATGTCTAGTTAGAGTTGTGTAACCCGCTTGTAACTGCAAGCCTATATTTTCCCAAGATTAAGGCAATTTCCAGCTAATATCTCCTTTGAATATATTTTTTTTATTGTTACTAGGGTTTGAACTTTCAACTTGCTCTTGCAAGTCAGGCAGTGAATGAATAACTTTTCTGTGCCAATCCTTTTTCAATCACCTTCAGGTATATGTTCATTTCATGTTGTCCCATGGTCTTCTAAACTGTCTTCATTCTTTGTTTTTCTCAATTTGTCTCTCTACTTATTCCTGTGTCTGAATGTGACTGGCAAAAATCTGTCTTCCAATTCAGGCATTTTTATACTTCATCTATTCTGTTGTTGAGAATTCTAGTTATTTGTTTCTTTGCTTTTTATTATTGGGGATCAAACTTCAGGGTGCTTACACTGATTCAGATCCCCAGCCCCCCTTTTTTTTGCAGGGTCTTTCTATGTTGCCAGGCATTTTACCAACATTCTTCTCATGAAGGTCAGCTGCCAGTTATTGTGTTCTTTTGGAGGCACCTTTTTTTTTCTTATATTTCTAGCCACCCTATATTCAGATTTGTGCAGCTAGTAAATTGGTTACCTGTATTATTTTTATAAACTAGCTTTTGTACTAAATGGCTTCCTTCTGAAGATGTGTCTGGGATATCAGCTTGGAAAGCTATGTTGACACTGCTTCCAGGTGGGCATCCTGCAAGTTTCCCTATAACTACAATTGTTAAGAATAGATGTGAGTGTGGTGTGCATGGCAGTACAATGCGTGTGCCCTTCTGTCTCTAGGAGTCATGTGGAGGGGTGTCTTAGTCATTTGCTTTACTTTGAGACACCCACAAGTTAAAGGAGGAGAGGTAATATTGGCTCATAGTTTTTAGATGTCTGAGACCACGGTTTGCTGGCTCACTCGGACACAGCACAATGGAAGGGTCTGTTGCAGAGGAGCTGCAGCCAGGAAGTAGAGAGAGAAAGGAGAGAGGGAGGGAGATAAACAATCTGTTAGCACCAAGTCAGCTACAGTGCCCCCATAATCAGTGATCTCCCAGATGACAGAGAGATTGTGTGACCAGTTTGGATCTAAATCATGGTAGGGAAGAGGCACTATTGTGGTCCAGTTTGGTTTTACACACATGGCAGGAAATGTGTGGTGACTACCGTTTGGCTACTGTGGCAATAGAACTGTCCGTGCTGGCAATGATGGAGCACAGTGCTTTTGTAGCAGCAGCAGCAGCAGCAGATCCTTGCTTGCAGCAGCATTTCAAGTACCTGGACGTTGTCTGTGGTATCAGGAGGCATAAAGCATAGAACACATACTTTGGTCCAGCAGAGTATGGCAGCTCTGGCTAATTATGGCTTGGGTTGCACAGCTTGGGCCTCTGAAGGCTGCAGCGCAGCTGACTGTGGCTCAGGTAGATCATCACAGTGACAGCTTCAACCAGGTAAGGTAGACTTTGCATCTGAAGCTGATTAAGTTGCCTTGGGCAGCAGTGTACGTATCTATGATCACAATATTTTACCCATATTGCAACAGCCTGAGAGCTGTGGGCTGAGGGGTAGACGGTACTTGTTCCTTCTATGGGGCAAAGCTACAGGGCAAACTCCTGGAAGCTCTTTGAACTGGGCTCTGGGCTGTCCCTCCTGCTGTTGGTGTTGCCCCCATCTGCCGTGAGGCTGCCACTGGTCACAATGGGGCCTGTGGAGGCTGCTGTTCACCCTTTTCCTTGCAGCAGGGAGACTTCCCAGAAGCAGAAACAGGATTAGATGTGGGATTTATTGCACTCTCCATATTAGTGCCCTGGATTTCTGTGTCCTGTGAGCTTCCTGTGTTTCTCTTGCTGTGTTCCCAAGTGCTACCCCCAACTCGAAACTCAACTGCTTATTTGCTACTCAGGTTCTTCTAAGTAGAAGAGGGAGCAGCACTGGGAACCTTTCTTTGGCTGTCCAATTTAATTTTTTAATCATTCCATCTTGTGAATACACTAAAATTTAATGCATAATTTTACTGTTAAATAATTATTCCATTTTTCAATTTTATAGTACCATATGCAACCTTTATATATCTGTTGAATTACATACATTTTCCTAGAACTGAAAATGCAGTGTCAAAGGATGTCCTGTTTTTTTTGTTTTGTTTTGCTTTATTTTGGAACTGGGGATCAAACTCAGGACCTCGTACTTGCAAGGCAGGCGGTTCCACTAAGCTAAATCCCCATCCCTCAAAGGATGTGTATTTTAACACCTTTTGTTAACTTGTTAAATAATCAATAAGATTTGTATCAATAACTAGGTCAATCATAAAGACTGTTACAGATATTTTATCACCAAGTTACTACACAAAAATGTATTGTTTTTATCTGCTTTTGATTTAAATTGTTCTTTTTTCTCATGCATTTCTCATCTTTGAAATCACTAGATCTCATCTTTTGACCATTTTTTCTTGGAGAAGAAGCATTTGTTTTTACATTAAAGTAATATTAAAGATATTAGCTATTTACAGGCAATATGGCCCTAAATACTTACAATTTTCAATTTGTTTTTGTATTAAATTTATGTAAAATTTTGAAGACAGAGGACCAGCTCTGTGATATTTTTTTCTTTTCTTTTTTCCAGTTTGGATCATGAAGTATTTAAGCCCATGGCACATTGTAAATGTGTAAATCAGGTAGATTAGATTTGTAAGAGACCAATTCTGGGGAAGAGTGACTCATTACCAAGAGAGAAAAAGGTGTCAAAATGTTGAAAAGCCCTCTGTAAGAGCAGTGCAAAATTTGAAGGTAACCCTGAGGAATACACAACTCCCCTCACAAACCTTCCCAAATCCTAATAGTGTGTGAAATGGTCAGAGTTCCATAATACCATGGAAGTGCAGGAATCAGCAGGACATTGTTCTAGAAGCCAGAAGCCAGATGGTTCTGTGAAACCATCTGAAAAAACTAACGAAATGGACTTGAACTGTTTAGGTTCCACAGAAATGAATGGGTTTTTAATGAATCCATTTTCTGGAAGCAAAGATTATCTATACTATTCAAATTGTAGGAATACTTATGTTCACATGCATTTTGGACAACATGACACCAAGGACATGAAAGTTTACTTTTATTGTAGGCACTTTTGGGAAAGATATCAGCACTTTTTTTTGATAAAATTTTATAGCAACAGTTATAATTGAAATGATAAAATATAAATAAAATTACACTTTATCCAAAATTACATTAAGTCCTTCTATGAATTATGTAATGGACAAAAACCATTATCCACTCTCCATTTGACAGTGGTTCTATTTATGATTCTTCAATTACAAAGTCTTTGATGACATTGAACTTGAAATTATCCAGTTGTAGCAGGAAATGTTAAATAGGTAACTACCTAATCCAGGGCTTGTTTTATGATCAATTGATGGGTTTATTTTTATTTTTATTTTTGGCACCAAGGATTGAACTTAGGTCTTTTTGTTTGAGAGGCAGGCAGCAGAACCACTGAGCTAAATTCCGGGCCCAACTGACGGGTTTAAACACAACTGTTTAATGTTTAACGTCCCACATGGTCAGACTTCACTAGCGCTTTGCCCCAGCCTGGACACTAACCATGGAGAAATAGATGCCTTTCTGTGCTAGCAGCTGCTGGTGTGTGCCGTGCTCCTTGACCCTGCCGTTCTGAATCAGCACGATGACGTCTGCGTTCTGGATGGTGGAGAGGCGGTGCGCGATCACGATGCAGGTGCGGCCTTCTCTGGCTTTGTCAAGGGCTTCCTGGACAACCTGCTCCACAATCACAGAAGTTAATATTCGTAATGATGGTCTCTCCTCCTCACAAACTCCAGTTTCTCTAACTTGTTCTTTAGTGGTTGTGTCAGTGAAATGTAACAGATTTTAGAAACCAAGGAATTTGTCCCATCAGAAAATATTTGAGTCCTTGTTTAGCTAAGTTCTGAGATGGATTATTCCTGTTCTTAACGTTATAGCAATAATTTAGTCCATCCAATAATTTGCAAACATTTCCAAATGTTCCTTACCATCCAGCATTCCTAAAAGCAGCCACTTGAGGCATCTCTGCAGCAGCAAATCAGGAAGCCTGAACAAAGGCCAAACCCAGTCTCCTTCACTCCTAACGTTTGTTTGTTTCAGTGGTAGGGACTGAAGCCAGGGACTTCACACTAAGCTACATCCTCAGCCTTTTAAAATTTCTCAATTTTGAGATAGTGTCTCTCACTCACGCAGTTACTAAGTAGTCTGGGCTGACTTGCACTGTGATCCTCCTGCTTCAGCCTCCCAGAGTGCTTGGGATTATGGGTGTGCACAGCTCAACATTAGTATCTTTAGGACAGAAAACATCTCCTACACAGTCTGTGTTTCGAATGGCTGAATCCTTAACCTATTCTCAAGCTGAAAATGATTACCACCACTTCCCTTAAGGAACAGCCAGACTGTGACCTTGCCTCACACTTCACACGGGGCTGCTGCAGAGATCTGCGGGCAGACATGGGGAACACGCTTCCTGCATGTGGCTTCCGGAGGTTTTGTGCTGCAGCAGTAATGTACCTTGTCTCATCTTAAATTGACAGCTGCAGGAATTATTTAAATTCCGCTGCAAGAGGCCCTAAACAACAATCAGCACATCTGCCTACATTTTGTTCTCTGTTTTGGAAGAGAAAAGCAAACAGCGAAACCTTTTGAGCACAACTGATTCGAGTGTGAATGAACTCAATTTAAATTCGCACCTTTTCGCTCTCTGTATCCAGAGCTGATGTAGCTTCATCCAGAAGCAAAATACGAGGCTGTCTAACGAGGGCACGGGCGATGGCGATGCGCTGTTTCTGCCCACCGGAGAGCTGAGTTCCTTTGTCTCCCACTCTGGTGTTGTATTTCTGCAAATTGAAGTCTGTTATTACGAGAGTCAAACACACAGTTCCCTCAGAGAGGGGATGTGTTTTCTGACAGAATAATTAGAAAAATTAAGATGCAGAAGCTAAGAGTGTGTTTATGGAGATGGAAACAACAAAAATACTATACATAGTAGAGTTAAGTTCTGTTTTGGAAAACATAAATTTTTTGTTTTATTATAAGTGAGCCACACGTTTCATGAGGAAGAATATTGTTGCAGTGCTATTATCTTCAATCACCAACTTCCATTATTTTGAAAACAAGATTGGCAAGAGAAACACAATTTTACCTGAATAGGCTGTGCAGCCTGATCTAAGAACATTGTACTTGTACCTAGCAATCAACACCCTCTGACTGACTTTAAAGGGAGAGAATGAAAACCTAGGGACATCAGCTTTCTCATGTCTGTGAGACCACTCTGAACACTCAAACCATTTATTTCCAAGGGTGCTAAGGAATTTGCTTTGATATCAACAAGGAAAACTGAAATAGTTTTTCAAAAATTCTTCTTTTCAAACTTCTTCCAAAATTCTTGCCATAGTGTTTTCCACAGTACAGAATTGCCACAGCCATTCAATATGCTGATGAGGCCAGGGGCAGGTACATAAAGGAGGGCAGAGGTTGACTACTACAGAGGCACGCACGTCTTAAGAAGCACTATTGCCTTAACACCTTGGCCCTTTTGAGGCTGCAATCACAGTCCAGCAATGGGCTTTGAGTCTTACACCTGGATTTGGAGTGTGAAATTCACGTTTTCCATCGTGCTGCCCAGTATTCTATCTGGCAACTGTAGTCTATGGTGGTCAGAATGAGACAGAGCAGCAGGTGTGGACAGAGGGAGAGAGGAAGGAAGATGGAGCGGGAAGGAGGGCTGAGGGGTGGCAGGGGAGAGAGAGAGAGAGAGAAAGAACCTCTGATGATTTGTATGAGCTGCAGCCCAGAGCTGTGGCAGGTGCACTGCAGTGTGTCTCATGTGAGTGCAAGTGCTCCTTGCTTGCACTGATGCAGTGGGTGTCCCGTGAGGCAGTGCTGTGACCCTAGGGAGGAGATAAAACTAAAGAGGCCTCTGAGGGGTGTGCGTGGATCTTACTACTAATCACTCAGGGAAAAAAATGCATTCTTAGATAACAGAGCTTAATTATCTAAGAACTTGGAGTGCTGATCTAGACACTGAGGGAAAGACCCGTAAGGTCCACAGGTGTGCAGTGTGAAGGACAGACACCCGGAGCCCAGAAAAGTGGTGTCCCTGTGGTAGACAAGACCCGGGAAGCAGGGTATATTGAAACAGCAGATATTAGTTACTCTGCATCAGTATCTCCGGGATGAGCACTGCTGCACTCCACTACCAAGGGTTTAGTCAGCAGAGGCGGGAATGGGCCTGAAACGTGTATTTGTAGCCAGTGCCCAGGTGGTGCTGATCCATGTGAGTGCTTTGAGAATCCCTGACCCCTCACTAACTGGTGAATTGTCACCTTGAGTGGGAAGGCCCAGCTGAATTGAATCAGAGTGCTTCTGGGTGCGGAAGACCCACTTAAGGAAGACTGTTGTCACAGCCAGAAAAAAAGGAGAATAGTAGGGAAGGCCTTCAGCTGATCTTCCTTGCACGAGCTTCACTAATGATTTTCTGTTGAGGGTCTTCGGCTGTGGCTGTCCTCTTTGGAGGAGCCTTCACCTTCAGTGTCCTCTCCTGGCTTCAAAACACATTAGTCTTCCACCAATGATTTCATATGGAAGCGTGTGGGATATTGCCATGGGCTCCAGGCCTCCGCTGGATTCTTCAGGTCTCTAGTGCTCGGCCAGACCTCTTGCACTCTACATTTCACTCTGTGTGCAGATATTGTAAGCTAATCGTGTAAACCTCTGTATCTGCATTCTCTCTGATTCAGCGCATGTGCAGTGTTTTGAGGAGCCTGGACCCAGCCCTGCAAGCTCTTGGAAGCACTGACTCTGACAGTTTGGAACTTTACATGTTACACGTTCAAGCCTCAGCCGGAGTCCATTGTCCGTAACTGGACAAGACTGAGGAGGACAACAGTGCCTTCACCCTTGGGACTGTTTTGGGGTAGCAGAATCTGAAGAATAGCCATAGGAAAGAGAATCTTGCAAGGCGCTGGGGCTGCCTAATGTTACCACCCCTCATGAGGAGGTTACTTTCCTCTCGGGTTTGAGGCTACTGAGCTTTATTTTTTAGGAGTAATTTCTTGTAATAAAACACCTACCTAGTGATAAAATGGGACTGCATAGTTTAGCTGAGTCAAGCCTACAACTTAACAGGTCCCAAGAGAAGGTGAGAAGTTTGTTACCTAACCTCCTAGAGATGAGTGATGGCAAACCTTTTAGAAACTAAAGTCAAAACTGCAACCCAGAATGCACTGATTTATCACAAGGTGCCAACACTGTAATTCAATAAGGCCTTGGATCAGAAAAAGAAACTCATACCTTAACTTTGGTCTTAAAAGAAAAACCACTAGGGCATGCAATTTAGCTCAGCGGTGCTGCTGCCTGCCTCATAAGCCCAAGGTCCTCAGTTCTACTCCTGATACCAAAGCAAAAAACAACAAAAAAATGTGTGTCACAGGTCTGCCGCCACCACTGTACTATAGGAATTCAGAGGCTGTCCACAGCACAAACCCCAGTACAGATTTCAACACTGAACCATAGAAATGGAGCTTAGAACCAATGCTGTATGATGATTACAAAATACCATGGCCATTCCAGGGGCTCAGTTATGGTCAGAAAGCCCGTTGTCTGCCATGGGTCCAGCTCTGAACCTGGCCTGACTGCATAGAGTGAGGTCACAGCTTACAGAAGAGCAGCAGGAAGCAGAAGGAAGACACATGAAGGAGCGAGTGGGAGGGACAGGTCGTGCCTGCTTCCCTGGCAAGATCAGAAGCATCATGGCCACAGGGGAGGCCCAGGTGCTCACTGCAAGTCCTATCCTTGGATTAGCAGGGAAATTCAAAGGCCTCCTAACATCCTACCTACCCCTAGGGCTCAAGCAAGTCTACAAGCTGGACAGCTGTTCCAGGTCACCTACCCCAGCAAAGTTCCTCTCTCCTAAACCTGATCCCAACTCTTTCAACCCTTCTCACAAGGAGCGCCACGTGACCAGGTAAATAAAACTACTAACCAGGACGGGAAGTGTGGCCAGATGCTTGACTACAAGTGGGACTGTGTTCTGGTCCCTACCTTCTCCTCACCTTAGCAAACCAACCCGTTAGACAGCACACGATAGGGCTGCACCATTTGATTTCACCCCCTGCAGCTCAGTGATAGAACACCTGCCTACCACACACCAGGCCCTGGGTTTCATCCCTAGCATTGCAAATGAAAAGAATGAGGATGCAAAGGAAGAGGAGGAGGACGAGGGGGAGGAGGAGGGACAAGAATGAAAATGACACAAAAAACAAAGGAGACTATGTGCTCCTGGGCTTCCTGTGGAGGGACACTTACATCAGGCAGCGACTCGATGAACTGGTGGATGTTGGCCTCCTTGGCTGCCTTCACGATCTCCTCCTGTGACACAGTCCTGCTGTTGTCTCCGTAGGCGATGTTCTCGCCGATGCTGCAGTCAAACAGGATGGGCTCCTGGGACACAATGCCCAGCTGTGCTCGCAGCCACTGGACATTCAGTTGCTGTATTTCTTTACCATCCACAAGCTGAAAAGAGTCCACACATCAACCTCAGGACTAGCACACTTTGACTGTATCAAAATAAGCACCATTATTTCAGACTTTAAAAGAGTCAGAGCACTTTGTGATCAATGGAAAGTCACATTTGTCTAGCTTTCCATTACCAAGGTTAATCTAACAAGGTTGTGATTGTACACTTTGGGGAAAGGACATGTTTCTGATGTTTTAACAGTTTTTTGATAAGCATATTCTTTCCCTTAATCTGGGAACCTGTGAATATATTATATAATAAGCGAAAAAGGCACTAAAGCTGTGTACGGAATTAAGGCTGCTAAGTAGCTAACAAAAATCTTGATAAGCCCAACATAATGTAAGGGCTCTTAGGGGTTCTTAACTATGATAGAGGCAGGACAGTATCTACACATGTAACATGAGAGGACTTGGTCAGATATTATGAAACTCTGACCACACCGTGAGTTCATGGGTCAGGTTTTCATCTGACCCACACGTCAGAAGCCAGATGCAGTGGTCACACAGAACAGGAGGAGAGCAGATGCATCTCTGCACCTCCTCATCTTGGGAAAGAGAATTCATTGTTTCTACTTTCCTTGAGACAAACCCAAGAATGCCGACAATTTCTCAGTGCACAGAGCTAACGATGAGTGAGACCATACACAGACTCACTTAGCCCAGCAGGGCCACAGGGCAAGTGCTCAGGGCCCAGCAACAACCACCTCTGGACAGGATGGAGTTGGAGCCACAGAGGAGAGAAAGGCAGAGAAGCATTTCAAGGCCAAATGCAGATGGCATCTTCAATAATGGGCCAAAGAAGTGGGGAGAAGAGGCTGTCCTTGTTTCTGGCTGTCTGGCTCTCCGAGTATTATAGAGGCTCCCCACGAGGTCCCCTCCCACCCTTGCTGAGAAGAGCTCCCCTCTCTGGTGCAGCTGTATCTCCAGGCTGGCTCGGTTTGCAGAGAATTCTCCACATTCCCAGGATGCAGCTGCTCACGACCTGTGCAGAGGACACAAGTGACCCAGCTTGGAGCTTTCTCACGGTGCGGTTGTGTGTACCGAGCCCACAGGTACTCTCTACACCCCATGTGCCTCGCTGGGCCTCTGTGAGTAGCTGCTCAGAGTGAAGCGAGATCTTTCTTCGGCAACATGGCTTCTTCTTGGTCAAGTGGTAGGTGCTCTGCACAGGCCTGGTTCTGGTGATTCTAAGCCCTGTTCCCAGGAGACTGTTCTGACCATCTAACTCCAGGCTTCCTAAGAGTCTCTATGAACGAAAGTACAAATTTCAGGACAGAGAAAGGCAGTAAAAATCAAACGAGGGTGTGGATACACAGCAAATCTTCTTAGACAGGATGCTGTATTTGATAAATACATATATTCCAGGAAAGAAAAACTTAAAACAATTCTTTCAAGTTTATATTCCTGGGAAAAATACTGTCTAACTAAATGACCACAAGTAAATGTCAATAATCCCAGTAAAATTGTGAATTTTTGCATTACTCTGATTATGATTACACTCCTGGTTCCTCTGCTCAGCACAATACACTGAATGCGCAAACCACTTAAGCCTGTTCGTTAAAGGACATTTTTCTTAAGGGAAACATTTTTAGAAGCTCTAACAGAAAAAGATCAAAGCACAGATGTTTTGGCTAAGGTCTGGCCCTGGTCTGAGGGGAGGTCAGGAGAGTATGGGTAATTTAGAAAAATGTTCAACAGATTCTAGCCTAACATAAAAGCATGACTCAGAAAGTCAATATGGATAAAGAATAATGTAAAGCATAGTCAGAAGCATGTTAATTGTAAGCATTTTTTAAAAAACTAACTAAAAAGCAAAGTGACAGACCTTTCCCTGGACTTAATATCTTATTTTGCATTTTCATGAGAAAGAAAAAAAAAGAGCCTTAGGCTAAATATTCTTGTGTACTTCAGCTGTTACTACAGGATCCACATGGAGCTAGTCTGCTAGTCAGGGCCCTGACCACTCCAGGTATTTCATGCTTTCAATATCATCTCTGAGTACAACCCATTACTAAATGCCCACACAATTAAAATGTCTTGTTCTAAATTCTGTTCCATCCTACTTTGGCTCTTTTCCTATCCCCCATTGCAATCGTTTAAATTCACCGCTCCGTCCAAGACTCTCAGCTCAGGTCCAGCACCTGACAGGCCTCTGACAGGAATTCAGATATTTTGGCAAATGAGTCATTGGCACTCTTCACTCGTGTTCTTACTTGGAAACTGGGAAGACGTTCTTCCACACTCTTCATTCAGAGCCCGAATGTTGCAGTGTTGGGGTGCTGGGTTCTGTTGTGCTCTTTTGTTTCTGTTTCCCCTTGGAAGACATTTCTGTGCCCTCCCTCGGTCACTGACATCATCTCAGCTCCGCCCTAAGAATGCTGCCGGTTCCCCTTCCTAAGCACTTTCCCTGGATCTTGCCTTCCCACGCCAGCTGCTGTCCCGTCCCCCCTTTACCCGTGATCTTGGTCCTCGGCGCCCTCTTCAGTCTTATTTCCCCTCCCACCCACTCTGCAGCCCCAGTACACTGTTTACCATCAGCACTTCCCTGAGAGCTTTGCTACCAGACCTTACCCAAGGGGGGCTGTTAGGTAAGAGACTGGAAAACAAAGACTCGGCCTTGAGAAGGAAAAACACACCAAGGCCTTGCGATGATGAAAAGCCTGAAATGAGCTGAACAGGAGAGCGCTCACCACTGTCCCGGCCAATGGGTCGTAGAACCGCTCCAGCAGCTGGACCGCTGTGCTCTTCCCACAGCCACTGCTGCCCACCAAGGCCAGCGTCTGGCCCTTCTTCACCTGCAGGCTCAGCCCCTGCAGCACCGGGATGTCTGGCCGGGTGGGGTACTTGAACACAACATCACTGAAGGTCACATCTCCTTCCAGCATATTCTAGAATGAGGACAGCAGCAGTAAGTTCGCTGCAGTGCTGAATCACGGGGTAGGCTGAAGCCAGAGGTGACAAAGCTTTTAGAGACGAGTGGAGCTGCCACCAACACCCACGTATTTACTGCAAAGTGCCAACACTTCCCTTAAACCAAATATCCAATGCTGAGCTCCTGGGCTCTTGGCTAGCCTGCCATCAGAGCAGGCTGTGTGTGCCCACTGTGGCATGCGTGCCACAGGTTCTCCACCACTGAGCAGAGCCCTTCCGCCGCCGGGTTTCAAATGGTAGTGGAATCCTATAAGGAGTATAATATGTGTGTGTGTGTGTGTGTGTGTGTGTGTGTGTGTGTTTTGGTACCTAAAATCGAATTCAGGACCTTGGGTGTGCAAGGCAGGCGGCAGCACCACTGAGCTAGATCTCTGGCCCTATCAGAGGTAAAATTGATTCATACTGCTAGAAGTAATAACTAAGTCCTAAGAGTCAATGTTTTTAGTGAATGAGTTCTTAATCCAATACAAAAATAAAATATGTGATAAATTTGTCTCCCCAGACTGGAGTAACTTACATATCAGAAAACCTGACTACAAGGATCTGCTTAGAAAGCTAGCAGTATTCTTCCCTCCCTATACCTTTGATATGTAGAAGTCCTGGATTTAATATATTACTAGCACTTACTGAAACTATCAGATGATCTTCTTATATCTATATTAATATCAGTATATAGAAAAAGCATACATTTCGTCAAATTCTCTGTGATGAATACTTTCATTCAGAATCAGGAGTGGATCCTACAGTGGAAACCTCACACTCACCGGCTTCAGGCCTTCTGTGCTGTAGCTGTCAATGGCGGGGACTTGTTCGATGATCCTGATGATGTGGGCGGCTGACACTTTGGCTTTGGCATAGTCCGGGGCAAAGGAACTGACCTGCCCGACCGCCGTGGCACCAAAGACGACAGCTGAAAACACCCTGGAGAACAGAAGGCAAGACAGGCACAGTTAGGGCTGCACTGTTAGAAAGCTGACACTTCCACAAGCAGGGAGCACTGCCACAAATAAGTGTAACACAGAATTTTAAAAATTTTATAAACTGAAGAAAAACCTGCCTCACCTGTCATAAGACGGTCTGTCCTTCAAGTGTTAGGACACTGCTGTAAAGGTCCTTTCTTTCTTTAATAACTCCTGTCACTGCCCTCTGGACATGTTTACCAAAGTGTGTGTCTAAACAGTGGACCACTACAACTGGGTTATAGCGGCACTCAGTGCCACTGCTTGTTTCTTGCTTAAAAATTTGCTCTGAGTAAATCACACAGACGGTTTATCTCGTCCTTCCTATTCATACCTTTGGGATCTACATCCCTTTCCTTTACCTACTTGGAAGACTGATTTTCCAAGCATAAATGGCCAGTGATGGCAAAATTCTTCAATTCAAATTAAATCGATGAATCAAATAATTATCCAATTAAAGACCTAATATCCATGCTGTCTAACTTTGCTCTTTAGGTCATAATCACAAATAACACCTGTACATCATATGTCACACATACATATGAGAAAGCAGACGTTGTAAATCACGTGTTACACCCATCCTAACAATGCCTACAAAGAACAAAAATATTATACTAACATATTCTGAGACTCATATGATTTTGATTTCCATGTAAAACTTTATTACTTCTAATTTGTGTACTTTCAGAGGGTAGATTTCTATAAGTCACCAAATCTACAAGATCAGAAATATCACACAGAGTTTTCACTCCTAAACTGGTGATTTTCATATATTAGTAAATTAACCCTGACTTCTCTAGACCACAGTATAGTTTTGTATAGGCATGAAAATGTAGCCAAAAATACTCATCTAATTTTCCTTTCTCTCTTTTTCATTTCTCCATCACTTCCCTTGGAAGTGTTCCCTTATTGAGAAGAAGTGAATCTATCCTGGGATCTTCCAGGGTGTGTGGAACATGAACACCACTTTCATATTGTGCCTGCTGCCTTGAAAAGCCCTTTACATGGAGCCAGCAGGCTCCTCGCTCGCGCCTAAGCTTCTTTCCAAGAGCCAGTGTCTTCTGGAGACCTCTGCAGTTACTCACTCACCCAGCCACAGACTTACCAAAGTCAGGGGTGTGGGAGTTAGCAGAGGAAGAACGGAAGTTGCTGAGAACAGAGACCCAGAGGGAAAAGGCCTCTTTCCCAAGCACCTAAATCTCTTCATGAGTCTGCTCCCAGGGATTTCTATCTAGACACGAAGCATGTCCATCCCAGGATTACTTCACGTCATATTGTCAATATTAACCCAGTACTTACAACAGAACATTTTCAAAAGTCATGAAACCACGGACCACCAAGAAGGCACCAAACCGGAAACAAGCAGCATAGGAAAAAAACATCATGGCCTGGGTGAAGGAAAATGTGATTCCAAAGATGTGTGCTTTCTTCAGAGAGTTTCTGAAAGGAATACATTTGAAAAATTACTGTGCTTTCATTTCTTGGTCCTTAAAATGTAACTTTTGCCTGTCAATCTATGAGAGGATAAAGAAAAAAATTTTTAATACAATAGACTACTACTCTGCCATAAAGATGGGTGAGCTCCAGATATTTATAGCTAAATGGCTGGACCTTGAGACCATACTCATGTGACATAAATCAGACACACATGTTTAAATACAGTATTGTTTCTCTGGTGTGCAAAACTGGAAGTGAAAATAAGGACTACAATGTATAACAGATATTGGGAAATGTGGACAAAATGTTCAAAAGGGAAGGGAATACAGGAGACTGGATGGAAAAAGGAAGGAAGGGATAAGAAAAAAAGTGAAAATGGAAGGGAAAATACAAAGTTTTTATGTATAGGGAAGTGATGGGGTGTAAAGAAGAGGGGAATGGGATTTAAAAAATTTATTAAAGGGGGAAAGAAAGTAACCCTCTATTGGTTGATAGTGGACCAGAGAAGTGTGACAGACAAAAATAGGTTTAATCTTCAAAGAATTATGTCATCCTTATTTTACTTTCCAGTTGTGTGAATTGAGTTATATGCCTCATCTCTGAGGTTCAGTGTCTTCAACTTTAAAAATGGGTTAACTGTCCCTCTATGTATTGATGCAAAGAGGTAGTAAGCCTACGAAATCTGCATAGAACCTATTAGGAATTAATTAATGAAAACTCCTTCCCTATATCAACATTTAACACCTGTGTCCCATATACTCAACATTCCCTCCGCGACATCTACCCAGCACCTGTGAACTGCAGGTACCATGTGGTGTGACACAGGGGCATACGGACGTCCCTGCCTTTGGGGACCCAGCCGTTTGGCCCGGTATCTGTTGATGCAATGGAGGTACAGTAATTATGAATAAACATGGGAAGCAAGAGGAGACCCTCGATTCTCCGGGGGACTTACTGAAGGCATCGCAGAAGAACTGAGACTAGGTTTTCTGAGGGACACGGAACTCTGCGACATGGAAGTGTGTGTAGGAACACGCTGGGAATCAGGCAGCCTGGGTGCAGACTCATGCTTCATACCATATCAACTTTATTTTTATCTCTGTCATATGTTTGGATTTCAAATGAAAACTTTTTCAGAAAAAATAAAAGCCCTACTAGCACTAAAGAAAGGGAAAGTGGGAAAACCAATCATTAAGGTCCAGCTATCTCCTTTTGCAAGAGAAGAAAGTGAGCCTCAGAGACCCGGGCTTACTGGCATTCACACCACTTGCTGCTTAAGTACAAGTACTGCCCACTTGCACCCTACCTTCTGGGCAAAGTCATCCTTCCGAAAGCAACTCCCACCTCCAGTGGTTTTACCTGTACGGTATCTGCAGGCTCTGCTCATACATGTGTTCAAACTTCTCCTCCCGGGTCAGGGACACGACAGTTCGGAAGTTTTCTATTGCCTCAGTCGCGATCTGTAACAGACATCGCCATGCGGCACAAGGGCAAACGGGGCAGTTAGTTTTAATTCTGTAAAACAGGTGGGTAAGACTGGTTTTATGATCACACATTCTTTATTTTTCACTTACTGGTACCTATATGTATCTTCTTTCTGGAAAAAATATTCTAAGTAACTTACCAAACTGAAGGGAGATCAACCAATTTAAACTTTCCCTCTTCAGAAAGAGAAACCAAGGCTTACAGGGATGGAGGCACTTGCCTAAAGCCACATAACTTTACAAAATTAACCTGGGAACTCAGTATTTTACACCATTTGCAGTGTTCCTTCTTCCAGGATGGTCATGTTTTAAGTGGACAGTACAGTTATTTTACATATTTTAGGTGTCATTATACTTTATAATTGCTATTCAGAGCTAAATCATATTTGGAAAATGTTGACAATTTATGTTTTCAGTAAACCAAGAATAATATACAAATGGGGGTATTTTACACATTAGCTTCTGTACTATTTTGCCCTGAAGTGTACATGCCACACATGTGTACCTGTGTGTGCGCATGAGTGCGTATTTCTAAGAATGAACTCTGTCTCTTCTGTGCTCGGCAAGGGCTGTATCAGTGAGCTACAGCTCCAGACCTATCTATTTATTTCTTTTTTGGTATCGGGGATTGAACGCAGGACTTTGTGCTTGTGAGGCAGGCGGCGGAACCACTGAGTTAA